AGCTAAGTGCATGACCACTATAAATAAGATTTACATTTTTACATTAAAGTCATTTTACGCGGGCAAAGGAAAGGAGTGGTCGCAGTCCAAGGTGCCATTAACATTTCAGACGGCGTTCAAATTTTGAATGTGTTGCTTTATTGTTGCATTATAAAGTTATAGTCCAACTTATTCCCCATCTGACCAGACTAGTTCAATATAGAACTGCGTTGTATTATTCTATTTTAAAACAAATGATTAGAATAGCTATCAGTGAATAATCAAGTGGCAATGTCGCCCACAATTTGGCGCGGTCTCTTGTGATATTCCGCCGGATGTGACGTCGTTTTCGTAGTACTTCTGGTTTGTGGTAGCTTTGTTTACTCCAGACTTAGTTTACTTTCGTTCGACAAGAGAACTCAAACTTCAGAATTTAATCATTTGACAATGGAGAACAAAGTACCATCGGCTGCCTTGTATATAGTATTTATTTTAACACTTGGAAAGGTGTCGAGCTTCAACCTGGACATCGAGTCAGCAGTTATTTATGGCGGACCAGACCAAAGCGAACTTTTCGGGTACACAGTTGCAACTCATTCTCACAACGGGCAAAAATGGTGAGAGCTGCTTAAATTGTTTCATAAGTATGCTAAAATGTTGTTGTTTTAGCTGGTATGTCCTTTAGCAGTTCAAAATATTCCGTTTAGTGATTTTTGTATTGTTTGTCTGTGTTCAATATTTCGAACGGGAATTCCGAATGGAAGCCCTCTATCCGAGCGTATTGTTGTGTTAAAGTACTTGATTTTGCCTAGACTCTATTGATCAAGATGACATTTCAAGTCCGGTGGTTAAGATGATTCTTTAGTGAGAAAGATCACTGATTCCCACAAGTTCAGAAGAGAGTTTTGGAGAGTTTTCCAGTCGACAAAACAATGTTGGTGTCGAGCAAATTCGTGACTTCAGCGTTAAGCTGAAGATCGCTCAAGCACAAGAAAGCAGCTTATAGCTCTATAAATACTGCTTATCAATCTTGCTAGCTTCAATCTTGACTTGAATCTTGTGTTAATACGTTTACAGTGCACTTAAATATCGTGGCATCCATCAAGCTGGGGAAAAAACTGAATTGATGTCCGTCGCTCGTGTACGCTCGTTTAGTGTTATTAGACTGAAATGTTTGACATCAGCTGTCTATCTCTTCAACAACTGATTGTTTTGTGTAAATGTAACTGAATGTTGTAGAGAATTGGATTACAGTTTTCGGCCTATCTTTCATCGGGAATTTTTCGACTTTATTAGCGTCTCGGCGATCCCAATGCGCATTATTTTTATCGTGTTACTAATCGGCTGCTAAGTCAATTACGACAATTATACTTTGTAATAGTCTTGGAAGGTCACTGAAGCGCAGCGAATGAATATTTCTATAAAAAAAAGAAGTGTGAAACAATGCGGTGTTCTTTGAAAATCCAGAAAAATTAGCTCGACTAAGAACTGGCGTTTCAGCATTTCCCCAGTGAGTGCGGAATGTTTTCACACATTCTCTCTTGAAACGTGTTTAGAATTGACCGCGCATTTGACCTGATTGTGTCACTTATAGGCGTGACGAAGCAATTCGGGAAGTATTTAAAGTATTTGTGTAACATAAGAGCATATTATTCTTTTCCATATGATTGCTTTTCCGGGCTCAAGAGTCCTCATGAGACCGATGAAAATGAGTGATGTGATTGCTTTTGCCCTGTCAAAGCGCTAGCGTATTCATTGCTCAAAAACTTGCCAAATAAAGCGAAAAAATTACTTGCCAAGCTTTGCAATAAAATAAAAGAAGCGCTAAGTGCCCTAGGTCCGTCGATATTTTTTCCCAGTCCCTCTCTCGGTCAAACCCCGCCCATATGGAAAATTCACGTTTTCAAGACTAGTGGGTGTAGCGGGCATGAAAATAAAAACAATTGATTTGCGGCTGAATTTCGTTTCAAGACGGATGAAAAGAAAACATATAAATGCTAATCGAAATTGAGCTTGTAATCTAACCTCTGCATTTAAAGTTTCTGTTAAGACTAGGAATTTGTCGCGTTGGATAACCTTGATGGGCGGAAAAGAAGACACCTCGATTTTGCCAAGCAGTCTTCCTACGTCAGAACAAAGCGGAGACATACCTTTCATTTTTATTGGCCATTAAATGAAAATGAATTAACGAGTGCAATTTATTTACTTCAGACATGTGCTCCAAGATACACGCATGCGCCTTTCACCGACAGGGAAGGAATTATAGATCATAGATGGATCTCCTTAATAGGAAGGTGTTTTCTAATATCCAAAGATCTTTATGGACTTCAAGGACCAGCGGTCACTCCGTGTGAAGGTACACTGTAGCAAAACTGGCTTGATATAGTTTGCTTAATCAAGGGCGAAATTGTGAGAAATTGTGAGAAACTCCTGAAATACTGAATGTCTTCCTCCTGCTTGTTATGATCCGTCGCCAGTTGTTTCGAATTCTTCCTGTTCTATCGTTCGTTTGGTTTAGCATACACTGCGTCGCTTCATTTGGTTTCGTTCGTTCATTCGTTTCCCGTTTGTTCGTTCGCTTGTGCACAATCGTTCCTTCTTCCTTTCATTTGTTCGCTTGTTTCGTTTCGCTCAGTTTCATTCGTTTCGTTTGTTCAATCTGTTTTCGGATGGCCTATTGAAGAATTTTTACTGATGTTACTGTTTAAACCTCTAACGAACCAATTATTTCTATCATCAGGCTAAAAAATCTTGGGAAGGTTAATCGTACCATGCCCTTTCAATATTCAGAGTCAATATATATTTGTATTCATATGATCGTCTCTTGTGTTCAATCAGAAACTGATTATGTATTGTGGTTATTTTGTCAGGTAAAGTAGGCTATCCCGAAGGCGATTGCCAAGCAGGAATCAGTGCCGAGTACACTTCAGATGGTGAAGATGTAGTCATGGGAACCATCGGAGTTAAGCAATTCCGAGGTAACACTTAATTCGCATATATATATTTTTTATGTGATTTGGCGTTCGCTTTGCGCTATTAAGATTAGTAATTAGTGTCAAAGGGTCATGCAGTGCAAACAACCAATCAAAATAAAAAGGCAACCGATAACTGAGGAGTGAGACCAAATCCAATCCGTTGGCTTTTAAACAATTGCCCGCGCTTAACAGCGCTTGTTTCACGTCTTCTCGGCGTCAGTTAGTATCATTTGCATGATTTCTGCGGCTTGCGTAAGTGTTTTCCCGCGTTCAGCATCGTTTCTAAGTTTTCCTGCGCTTAGCACCGGTTACCCGTTTCCCCTCGCTCGTTTTCGCGCGCTTGGCGCCGTACCGGTCAGGTGGGTTTTACTACGAATTTAAATGTAACTGCATGAGAAAAGTCTATACAATTTGTGCAAAGAGATGGAGTATTTCGGTATCCCGTCTGAAATCGGTTTCTCGTCTTGTCTTTTGTCAGGTGGCTTGGTTTCCTATAACATCTACGAAAAGCGGACAAGTTTCTCCCCAAATGTTTCTGTAGGAAGAGATGATTACATGGGTAAGAACAAATATGTATTTGCTCAGTCTGGAGCCATGTTTTCTCGGCATTAACACAAGAATGGCAGATAATGGAAATCATACGGTAGCCGTTCGTTTTTATTTTTTAATATCGCAGATTATTAATGACTTTTTATTCCCCAGGTTACGCAGTCTCAAGCGGACATTTCTTGAGCCAAAATTCCCTGGGTATGTTTTCTTCCGTCAATGCCGTTCGGATCACTGTTTTACAGCTCATCATAAGTAATTTGAACGTTTTTTAATCGCTTCCCTTTAGAATTTGTTGGAGGTGCACCGCGAGGCAACAGTGTACAAGGAAAAGTAAGTATAAGCGGCAAGTAGTTGAGATATTTTGAGAAATTTTATTCTAACGAAGACCACCTCGATTTTTTTGACACTGGCCTCGTAACAACAACAATCGCTTTACCATTCTGAGCTAAATAGCAAGTTACAACGACAACCAGCGGGTACCTCCCGACACATTAGCGATATCTTGCCGACCAGTTACCGATACCTTACCGACAACTACCGACAACTAACCTTACCGATACCCTATCGACCATTGCCGACAGTTCCTGACCAGCCTTGCCAACAACTAACCGATATGTTACACATTCTCAACATTTGACTTAAAAACACTTTTAAACTAGTGATGCTTTCAGATTGCTTGCCAAGTGCATCACTCCCGACCGCGACTGCTAAAGTATACTTTTACAAATGAGAATATATCTCATTAAATGGGTAGGTGTATGGTCGGATGGGTATCCTGTGGTGGAGAGATGGAATAAGTAAGAGATAGGGTTACAGATGATGGTAAATAACGATTTTCGTTCGTTTCGTTATACTTGTAGGTTCTCATGTTCTCGATGGACGATAAATCTGCGATACAAGTGACATCAGAAGTTCCTCCACCGCAGGGGATCACAGTGAGTAGAAAGAGAAATAAAGCTGGCCCACACGGAGCCTTGTTGATCTNAAACAAAAACAAAAGCTAAAACAAAAACAAATATTGTCCAACTGGCGGGAAGCTGACCAGTTGGCTATTGAGATTACGCGGTCCAGGGGTTGAACTCGCGACATAAAAGAACAAATCCAGATAGCGGTAGGGTGAAGCCCTAAAACATTCGGCCACTCGGCCTCGCCGCCTCTTACAGATTTCCAGATTCTCAAACATAAACTAACACTGAACGAAATTTATACCAATCGGTAATAATAATTTGAAAAAAGGTTATAATGAAACATAGGAGGATGTCCAAAGCACTTAATTTAGTAAAATCTTATTCTGATTGACAGATATTGCAATTGGAGCACCCTTTGAAGACAATGGTGCTGTTTATGTTTACCACGGCTCAAAGGAAGGTATCAACCCCGCTTACAAACAGGTAAGAGCACAGCTAACTCCTGTTTGATCATGTCAAAGTTTTGTGGGTGTTTTGGTTTGTGTTCACGAGGCATAAATTGAACCCAACCGGACTTCTAGCCTTGAGGTCCAACTAAAGCATCTCGAGTTATTTAGGCCTAGGACAAAATTACCTTTAAATTGAAGGGAACCTCAGGAATATAAAAGTTTACTAAAATAGAAAAACACCAAAAAGATAGTAATAAACCATAAAGGAATTAGGATGGTTAAGGATGGAGAAGATTGACACGGATTACAAACGACGAACTTGAAAAATTTAGGTTAAACTTTTCAAAATACACCAACCGTGACGTAGTTCCCTTAACGTACTTAATCAGCTCAATTATCCAGTTTAGATCAGATTCTCCGTCATTATGGATTCTTGTCTTGAGTTGTTTTGGTTTCTTGCAGAAACTCCTAGGTTCCTCGGTGGACTCTGGATTAAGATTGTTTGGCTCAGCTGTTGCTGGAGGTCTTGATATGGACAGCAATGGTTACCCAGGTACATGTGCGAGACCATGAATATTTAGAAAAATAGTCAGTAAATCCGCAATTCTTGTGGTCTATTCTTTCCTTCTGGTGTACACGCGAAAACAGTCAACTTTACTTACTATCATGTTGTTGAGAAAACTTCGCGAACACTTATCGCCATTAAAATCGATTTTACAGTCAAGTTCTCTGTCTTCTTGCAGATATCGCAGTTGGTGCATATGGGTCAAATAGAGCAGTTCTGTTTAGGTATGAAAAGACACGATTTTCAAACTATTTTTGCCAAATACTGTTTTTAGCACAAGTTGATGTTGAGAGAAGAAACTATTGCTGTCTGACAAGGAGTGGAGCATTTGACTTTTGGAGAGAGAGGGGGGAGGGGAGGGGGTGTTGGGTGATTTGACACAAGCACGAACATTTTTTTAACCCTTTCATGAGCTGGGAAATTTTTTTCTCGGGAAGTGTATATGCGCGATATATTGTTCTCCATAGAACATTCTTTCGTTCGGCTCACTGAACGTTGCGTGAATTTTTTTTCAGCAGTGGTCGTCTGCAAGAATTTTTTGGTACAAGTATGCTTGCAGGAGATTTTTTCAAAATCCCCCACCCTCCCTCAAAAGTCAAATGGTTCACCCCTACGTGACGCATACTCTGATAAAGCGCGGGATGACGACTGATGACCGAATCAAACATTTGCTCTCTGATTGGCTTATCCCACTTTTCCGGCATGATGATTGGCTGGCTAATAACTTCGTTATTTTGACTTGTGTGAAAACCGTCCTCTCATTTTGCTTATTTACGTCTGAACTATCAGGACTCGTTCGATTGTTAACGTCGAAGGAAGTATCCAGCTTAGCAGAAATCAGATCGTTGTAGAAAGCAATGACAGCTTGTGTCGTCTAGAAGGACAGTACCATAAATGGTAAGTTTTTCAAAAAACAAGAAAATAGTTTTGAAGACATGATTGATCATCGCAATTATAAACACAGCTTAAGCAGCTGTGAAATTAAAGGCTGAAAAAAAATAATAAATAAATAAGGCCTGAACGGGATTCGAAGCCATGACCTCTGCGATACCGGTGCAGTGCTCTACCAACTGAGCCATCAAGCCAGCTGGGAGCTGGTCACATTGAGAGTTCGTAATATACCCTTAGATGGTGAANATACGTATTTATCCTTGTTTTATATTTAAAATCTGGACTTTTTTTTCTCTGAGAAATATGGAAAGATGACTTGAGTGTTTTTTGTTGTTCTGTGAAGGAAAAGGACAGTCTTGGAGATGTCGCTACTTCCCTTTCATTCGATCTCGAGTTTGGTTTGGTGAAGTCTTGTGGCAGGGATCTGTGCCCGATGTTAAACGATTCTCTTTACACAAAGCACACGGCAAAGGTAAGACCTAAAGGGTATTTCACGATGGACCACTTAAAAATAACGCTTCCTCGACTATAGGAAGGATTTTTACTTTCATACACCAAGATGCTTTCCCTGCGAATGGGAAAGATCCCGCGTTTGCATTCCCCCTTGGCGTTTTATGTTTTCTACTTGAAAGTTGATTGTTTCGCGCTGGTTTTGAAACAATTTGTTGTTTCATTTTTTTTTTATGTTGGATTTTATTTAATAATATCTCTAGAACAAAACTGTAAACAAAATCATTAATAGGCTTTCTTAGAGCTGTTTTCAATCGAGTGTTATAAGATGAGAACCAAAGTGATCACTTCAGCCAATCACAACGTACCATGACAATTCAGTAAACCAATCGAAACTCCGAGCAAAAACATGTAACCAGGCCCCACAAAGCGCGGGAAACCATGTGCGAGGGAGGCACTTCTGATTGGATGACAAAATGGCGTGAGGTTTTAAAGCCAATCGCTGTGCTTGGTCAGTAACGCAAAACCAAAAAAATGCGACGATCAAGTAAACAACAATTACCTCTCTATTCCGTTTGCCGTAGAGCTTGTTGCCGTTTACTCAACTCCAATGAGCTCTAACCAATCAGAAGAAAGTGGCTGTCGTCTTAGCCAATCATATCCAGCACAAATCCAGACCGCGTCTTTCGTTTCCCGCGCTTTTCACAGCACTAGTGCCGAGTCAACGTACTGTGCTTTCAGCAAAGGACAATTCCTTTCATAACTCTCTTCTTATACCTCACAGGCTTTCTTTATCAAAAGATGTAAGAATCGAAAAGTCTGTGTACCTGATATGACTGTCGATGGAAGAGCTGTTTTAGTAGGGTAAGTAGGGGGTAGTGTTGATCTTCTTCTTGTTTCGGTCTACTCTATGAGTTAGTTTCTACATAATGCCTCTTAACAGTGTAAAGCATGTGGTGTTTTACCCAAGCCTTGTGGTACGTTAGGTTGGCGTCATCTTGAACGCATGCGCGATGTTAACTACGAGACTCCAACTAATTTACTGCATGTCTACTTCTAACAGGTATGACGGTACTCGAACATTTGATCGAAATCTGCGGATCGGTCTTGTAAAAGACTTGATTTTACAGCTCACAGTGTCAAACAAGGCCAACGATTATGCTTATTACTCCAAGATGTCGGTGAAGTACCCGAGATCATTAGGCTACCAAGGAACTAGTGGAGTAAGTAACCACATAGAGTACTTCAATGTTAAGGAAACTAGGCGTTTGTTTTTTTTTTATATCCAAAGGTATTAGTTCCTAAAGAAACTGTTTGGCTGTTTCGGCGGACAAGTGAAACACTTAGCTATTTGTTAACTCGAAGTTGGTTAAGGTAAAATTAACCGCCACACCGAGTTTGTGAAACAGACCCTTCCATCAATAGTCTCTACTCTGATGAAGAGCTAATGTAAAAAACGTCAGCTTCACACTGAAGCTCGCTATGGCGGTTAATAATTTGCCTTTAACAGCTTAAAGTTGATAAATAGCTATGTGTTATCTCCTTGACTCTAACTTAATCTGTTTAATTTTAAGAGCAATCTTTAATCGATTTTCAAACAATCTATTAGTGTTTTGGACAATAAACGTGACAGTCGTTATTTACGGTGTTTTGACTGAAAGAGAAGTAGTCGAGACTCGTCATTTTGTGCTTCATGTATTTATCACCTTCGATCCGCCTTTTTATATTTTTAGCAGTGCGAACGTCAACACAGTTCACTCAACGAAACTCAGTCCCAGCTCTCTATCAGCTGTGAGGTGGGAAGAGTGGCTCTCCCGGGACTTAGTGATGTGAGTAGCTTCGGTTTTTATTGATATTTCTGAGGACTTTCTTTATGACGGAATCTATCTGCCTGGTTAGCTTCTCTCTTCATTAGTATCTCGGTCACACATCATCGGTTTGAACGAGCTTGTATAGCTCTTAGACGTGACGTGTCTAAATAAAGCATTGTATTGTATTGTATCCTTCTCAGTCTCCTTGCAGAGAACGCTCTTGGAATAGCTAGGCACACAAAGTCTCGTGTTGGCCAATCAGGAACGCTGTCTGCGCGCGCGTGTGGACCAGTGGCGGGAAAATTCCGAAATCTTTTCGGAACTTTCCCGCCAACACTTCTTAAAATATCAAAAGCGTAAACATTTTAGATAATGATAATGAATTGTGCTACTCATTCGACTTTCAGAAGGTTTTAAAACGTTTTGACAGTTTTTCTAATTAGCTAAGTAGTGAGGAACGTTTTTCATTACGAGGACTTAACTTTAGCCCTTGTTTTTCTTTTACCTCAGAAAAAATTCACCCTCAAGTTTTCAGCAGCTTCGGTAGAAGAAGATTTCTCTATTATCGTCACGGCTGAAAGGTACGTCAAACACATTAAAATAATGATTCTGTCAGGTCATTTTTTTATTCTCTATCGCCAGAAAATTCCGATAAACATGTTGCTATAATCAACGTCCTAAATTGAACCTGAATTTGTTGCGAGAAATAAAGAGAGTTCTTGAATATGGCATCGTCAAATTTTCTGCAAACTCGCAGATGCTAAGCAACTCCTTTTTATCATCACAACGGTCGATTAAACGTTTTATAATTACAATTTGTACACTATCGGGTGATTGCTTAAAATGGCTTTGTGATATGCTTTTCAGTCAAGACATAGATGCCAATGAAAAAGATAACAGTAAAGAGTTCTTAATTGCTGTGAAGTATGAAGCAGATCTTGTGATCAGAGGGTATGTACACTTTTTTATCTGATTTCGATTGAATGTCGATCACACCAAATATTCTGGCTCCAGAAAACATGTTCGTAAGATATGGAGTCGCACCGTACTGCGACGAAAAGCTGTTTGTAGTTAAACTTCTCAAACATTTCTGTCTCTCTGTAGTTATTCAAAGCCGGACCAGGTCATTTACTCAGGAGATGTCAAATCAAGGGAGAAAGTCGAGGAGTTTCAAGAGGAAATTGGACCCGAAATTGTTCAAACTATCAAGGTAGGTTGAAATCAAACTTACTTAGCAGCTCTAGATGAAAATCATGTTCAGTTGCATTTGAAAACGGTAGATATATATACGGTTTTAGTGAGGCCGGGGACATCATCAGATGGAGAAGAACGCTGGTGAAGAACGCGACGTACTTATGCTTTTCTCGCGCGGATTGAGACAATAGCACGGTCCGGAATAAGTGTCCTCCCTCTTATGAAGCGCCCATGATTCTAGAGATGATAAAATTAAATAAGCGCTAGGATAGTTATGATGAAGCCGCTTTGTACTCACCGCTCAGCCATTGATGTGCTATTCTTGTTTTGTTGTAGGTCAGTAACTATGGTCCTAGCGTGGTGGACTGGTCAGAGGTCACCATAACAGTTCCTAATCTATTGAAGAAGGACGACCCGGACAGTTTTCTGATGTATTTACTTCAGGTTGAGGTAGGTAACGTCTGAAAAAGTGACTTTAATTAATTAATTTACCGTGTTTTCCAAGAATCAACTGAGTTTTCTTTAAGGTGTAATTCTTTCCTGATGAAGACACTTTTCTACTCTTCCCATCACACTTCATGTGTTAGTATCCAGTCTCTTCACGGACACTAAATGAAAGCGACTGGGCATGGCTCTGTTGAATAGGCCGACAACGGATAATTTTCCCCTGTAGATATACCTTTACCTTGGCATGTTGTTCTTTACAGGTTATTGGTTCTGGAAGCTGTAACGCTGTCGTCAATCCTCTAAACATTGAGGTAAGCTACAACCTTATACTGCGACAGACGCGGTGGCCTCATGGTTAGTGCGCTCGTCTCTGGATCGGTCAGGGCCGGGGTCAATTTGAAGTGTTCTTAGGCATGACAGTTTACTCTCACAGTGCCTCTCTCCACCCAGGCGTATAAATGGGTACCGGCGAACTTAAATTGATGCAGGGGGTAACTCTGCGATGGACTAGCATCCCATCCGGGGGGGAGTAGAAATACTCCTAGTCGCTTCATGCTACAGAAACCGGGATAAGCGCCGGCCTGTTGATCCACTTGGCCTGCATGTATGCAGACTTTTACTATCGTATACTGATCCTACCTTGATTTGAGAAGAAGATAGAAAAGTGAAGATAAATTTAGAAAAGAAAGTAAACTCAATTTTGTCAGACAGNATATATGCAGACGTTACTAATAGTGGTTCTTGTTTCAGCTTGGCTTTTTCAACCGGAAGAAGGAATCACTAGAGGCCACACCCGACGAGGCAGCGCCCATGAACAAAGTGTGAACAAAGACAATTGAAGAAATCTGCTGGACTGCTTCTCTGATGTGTAATCCCGGCACAAGAAAAATGTTCCGTCGACTACACAAACGAAACTTTTAACAAATGGATGTAAAACATTTAAAATGAACCAAATAATGGAGAATCAAGGCAAAGACAATAAAGAAGATTAAAGGCTCTTACTTAGTGTAGAAGACACAGTTGACGGTAAACAAGAGAGGAGAAAAGGACAAGAGAACGAGGAAAAAAATGAAAAAAAAAAAAAAAGCTTTGTGAGGCGTTGTGCTGTTGTGACGTGTCCTATGTTTTCTACAACAATGAGCCAGACTGAAGACAACAATACCCTAGATGATGATTTTTTTTCATTCTCCACACGCTTCTCCTTAACGATATATTGATAATTATTAAGAGAAGTCAGATGTCAACCTCTCTTGCCAAATTAAGACTACACCAGGATTGGGCGTAGATGCATGCGACTAAGGGAAGAAAAACCGCATGAAGAAGTTCTTATTGTAAATATTACAAGACAAGGCTGGCTATTTCCGTGTATTATCAGAGCTATTTTTCTATTTATATATTACGGTTATTTTTCGACTTAGCTCCTGTAGACGGAGAAGCGACCTACAGAAAATAACGACAAAATACCATTGGATATTTTTACTAAGATGTTAATGTAATAAGCAGTTTAAGTTATATCTTTAAAACCGCAAAATCTCTCTTAAAAGCTACCCGGTTCTGATTCCAAACTTCCCCGGATGTCACGATCTAACACTCTCCCCGGATACAAGCCATGTCCCACGTTAAAACGATTATCACTTATTGTCTAAGTTCCTAGTGAGAAAGCTTTTTGTTGAAGCAAAGTTCAAAATATCCTCTTTTCACTCTGCTGTAAAGTGAACTGGCCTGGGCCTTTTAAGAGGAGTTTTGTTATGAAAAACAGGTGCACTTTTAGCCTGCTTTCAACGAGCCAGATATGAAAAGGTTTTTTTTAGCAAAATTGTGGAGTTTATTTAGCGAAAGCTGATGTAATTTTAGTAAGTCTCCTATTCTTCACACTTCTCAGAAGTCAAAGGAACTGCAGAAGTTTAAAGGATTTAATAAGAGCCGAACGAAACTGTAAATAAATGAGAGCTTTCCCTCAGTACTGTGCTGTGTGTGTTTCAAAGAATTATGTAGTGGTCTCGTGAAATTTTACAGGTGACAGTCAGTGTCATTTTGGGGAAATTATTTGTATTAGAAGTCGAAGGGTTTTCTATTAATTTTTCTTCCTTAAGGAAGGACGAGAAACTGAGAAACTCCAACAGATGCCACATCATCTTGGCGCCATTTGCACGATACATTGCATAGCAACGCTGACCTCCAAGGAAACGGCGGGCTCAGGGAGTTGGTTCCAGTGGACATCATTCCGACCTGAACAGGTTTCTTTCTCGTGAATGCCAAGAACTAAGACTCATTCTTGCTCAAGGCAACGAAGTTTCATTCTTTAGGCGGCCACATCAAAGTCAGTTCAGCATGTTTACTCTCAGGAATCCACTGCTTTAACGCAGCCAGTAGAAACTTCGGGTTTTTCTTCCAAGCTGCCATTAGCGCCATCTTGCTATTCGCACTACCGCTCACAAGTTCACTCAATAAGACTTCGGTCCTTGGCTGTAACTTTGCCCACGACTTGATCATTGTAACAGGAGCTCCCAACAGGAAAGGCACAAACTTTGAAAGTGCTGCGACCACTCTTCCTTCGAGCAAAAATTTTCCAAACCACTTGTATTTGTCGAGTCCTGTCGGGTACTCAAGCTCTTGAGCCGGAACTTGCCAGGACTTGGGTCCAAACGTACAGGTCATGTGACACTTGACAACACCAGCCTCGGAGTCATAGCGAGGCGCAGGGTCTTCTAAAGGCTTGGAGAAGGTGCACATACTTGGAACTAACACTGGAATCCAGTCAGGTTGAACAGCGATAACACCTGCAAGGAAGAAAACAGCAGATACACATTACGGTCGAACCTCAATAAGCGGCCACCTGTTAAGCAACCAGTTATCAAAGTCCTGAAATTTTTGTCCGTAAAATACTGTAAATAAAACTCCTATTAACCGGTCACCTCTTTTAAGCGGCAGGGGCCACCTTTTGGTCGTCCCGTTGAGAGTTTTCTACTGTCCTTTCCCCTGTTAACTTACCAAAATTTAACACACGTAGTTTGGAATTTTTTTTGGAGAAAGCGATGACAGTTAAGCTAGAGTCCGAGATTGGAAGTGATCACTGATAAGAACATTCAAAGACACGTTTATTATTGTCTTCCAATGATTCCATATTGGCTTAAAGCATGTTTGTATTTGAATAAATTGACGTTCCTACCAAGACTGATGCTAATTTCTGACGAAACTTTACGTAGCAGCCAACCGCTATTAAGCGGCCACCTCCCATTTCCCCGAGGGCAGTCGGGGTTCCACTGCGTAGAGCGAATAGACAAATAGTTTATGTAAACTAAACATATATCGCTAAAACAGAAGAGTTAAGAAATGTTTCATGAAAAGTGTCACTGTTTTTACTACCCTCGTCACAGTACTACAGCCTTACCTTTTATAAAAAGTTTTGAGGTCTCCACGACTTCCTGGTAAATCACAAACTCTGGTAACACGTCAAACAGCGCGGAAGAGGGATGAATGAAAACAGGCTCATCCACGGACATGCAACTGTACGAGTTCTTCAGCTGGGGGTTATTTCCGGCGGGGCTCTTACGAGCGACATGGTCGCCAAGGCCTGAGAGGCAGATCTGTCGGAGGGCCTTACACTGGACAGGGGATGGTGGGCTCATTCGAGGATTAACCACCACCCTTGCGTCAGCATTCACAAGATTCACTGAGTTTGTGAGCTGCACTCGAAGCTTTCTGATCTCTATCATCCCTTTATGACGAAGCCCGTTTTCTGAACAGAACTTTTCGGTGCAGCCTGCGTATTCGCTGGCTCCAACAGCTCGCAAAAGAACCATCGCGTCACCAAGTTTCTGCGCATCACCTTGCCCCGCCCAAGTGCGACGCAACCGCGATATCTTCCGCCGATCCTCCTTGGTTATTTGACCAGCTTCTCTGTCGTTGTCATCAGCGAAGATTTCTTTGACCGTGAGAGCGGAAACAATAGCGATGACGTATTCCATGCAGCTTTCCTGATGCCCCAGGCAAAGCATCTTCGCGTATCTTGGCGAAACCGGAAACTTGGCCATGGCACGACCCAACGGAGTGATGACCGCGTTGACGTTTCCTTTCACCGTTTTTCTCTCCTCTAGCGCGCCTAGATTCAACAACAGCTTCTCCGCGCTCTGCAACGCTGTCGCGTCCGGTGGAGTTGGGAAAGGAAAGTTAACAACCTTGTCGATACTCATGTCCTTCATCTGCAGAACCAAATCGTCAACTGGCCTGCGTGAGATCTCTGGAGCCGAGAACTCTTCAAACTCGTTGGTGAACACGGCTGAGGAATACAAACGATAGCAATGCCCAGGCTCCACTCTACCAGCTCTGCCCGCTCGCTGATCTGCTGAGGCCCTGGATGTCCACGTGATTTTAAACGAGGACACTCCAGTGACTTTATCGTAGTAGCGCCTCTTGACCATACCTGTGTCCACCACGTACTTGATGTTGGGAATTGTCAGCGATGTTTCTGCCACGTTGGTTGCTACGACACAGAGTCGCGTCCCTTCTGGGGATGGCTGGAATACTTTGGCTTGCTGCTGGCTCGACAGAAGCGAATACAACGGCAGAACGAACATAGGAAGATTCTTGTCGATCAATGACGTAAACGCGCTGTCGTCGAGATCAAATCCACTGCTCTCGTCGCCCTTGTTTGCGATATCTTCACCGAGGTCTTCGTCTTCTGCGTCTCTGTCTTCCACTGCTGGATTCACGGGGTAATTGTCAAGATCAAAATCATCATCAACATCATCATCGGAATTTTCATCCTTCACCTTCTCCT